ACCTATTCATCTATATTGAATATAAAATCATTCTAAGTCACTGGAGGAAGTCTGCACTGCAAGGTATCTGAAGGGAGTTTTGTAAATACTTGGCAAATATCATTTGACTTCTGAGATAAGGTCTTCCTTTTCTGGGTGGTCAAACAATTTTCATTTGTAACTGTACCTTTAAAATTTGGTTTCTTAGAAACAATACACTTTATTTGGATTTTGCTAAGGAAACCAGAATTACTTTCAAGGACTACACTTCGTGTTAACCAAGAGATGGTAAAAGAAGCTTTAGTAAGGCCTAAAATAGACTTTTATGAGTAGCTGTGGAACAATCCATTCAATTAGGCAAGTTTCATTTTATAGATAAGAACTGGAGCTGGCTATTTCCCCAAATAATAAATTATTTTATCTTTTTCAAGACTATTGAGGGTTTCTAAATCCTACATTTTAATTCAATTTTTCTCACAGAAATATTTTTTTTTCAGTCATACGTCAGTAATATCTGTTAGCAAGGTGTTCAGAAAGCTCACTGTGCAGTGTGTGAAAACATTTCCAGTCTCATTTTCATTTGATCTGCATTTAAGATAGAGAGTAAATATATCCAGTCCAACAGCTCAAGAAATTAAACTACCACAGGATAAGGGATATGACCCTTCCATGAAGCTCTAGAAGGAGTCAGGTTGGATCTGCGATGGCCAACTTATCTTCAAATGGTATAGATTTTGAAGTAAAAGGTTAAATGTGAAAGTCTGTGAGTTATTCAGGATAAAAAAGGCAATAATTAAGAGTAAAGAATTACAGAAAACCCTCACAAGAGCAAATGTCTGGGAAAAAATGGCCTGTGACATTCACTGTGGACAGTTGTAAAGTAATGTAGATAGAGGAGCAAAAATAACCTTAACTTTACATGAAAAACAATGTAAGCTAATAATTATCACTCAGGAAATGCAGCTTGTTTTTATAAGATGTTCTTCCATAAAGATATATACCCTATCTTATTTGTCAATAGCAGTCTAAGAACTGAAGTAGACCTTAACAATTACTAGGAATAAAATGGAAAAGTAGAAGAAATCAGCAAGCTGCTGTGTAAATACATGGTGTATTTGTGTCTTGGTTACTGTTTATACTTCTCATCCTTTCAACTCAAAAAAAGTTATAATAAAACATGAGAAGGTAAAAAAAGGAATGAGCAAAGATATGAGTATTTCCATATAACAAGTGAGCAAGTAGACTGTAATGTCCAGATTGGAAAAAAGTCTATAAAAATCATGATTTAGAAAAAGGATGGCTATTCATTATAACTTCTCAGCCAAAAAAATTTGGAAAGGTGTTGAGGGAGAGGTGTCACAGAAATTAAATTAGCAAAGAGCAAGTTCAAAACAAACAGTTGGAATATTTTTCCTACGGTGTATAGTTTAACTGCAAAACTCCTTGTGACAGATGTTGAGTTTACACAGGTTCAAAAAGGAGCTGGCTATGTTTCTGGAAGGAAAATCCATCAGGTGCAATGAAATATAAAGATGCCATCTCTTGTTCAAGAAGTCTCTGGTTCATTGAAATCTCTGAAAGTTGGGAGAATATTCCAGGAAAACATCATTTTATGTTTGCTCTACTCTTGGTGTTCTTCACAGGCCTCCAATGTCCCCTTGCCAGAGACAGATGCTGGGCTGGGCAGATGCTTGGCTACTCTCAATGCTATTCTTTGCAAGATAGCTCAGTATATGATGAAGTTCTAGTTCGTCCCTGCTTCTTCCCTTGCTTTCAGTAATTGCTCTGCCTATCTACTGGAGATGGTTTCTTTTAATGGGCTTTGCTTACATTGCCTTGTAGTGCAATGATTCATTATTGCTCTCTTACTGCCTTTTATGCCATTCAGGTAGGATAAATGGATCTCAGAGTAGTCATATATTTATATTTGCTCTATGGCTTAAAACAAATGTCACTGAATAGCCTAAAGAGATGTCAATGAAAATGAAAAACCCATCCTCTGAGATCAGCAATAAACATACTAAAAATGATACACTTTTACAGAATTTATTACTTAACTAATATCTTGTTCAGCTCTTTATAGAGAACTGCACTGCAAAAATCAATCCCACCCACTCTTCAAATTCACTTTTTTTTAGTGGGATCCTGTACACTGGTTTTGTCAAGGATGTAGTCACTGTAACTTGTGCCCTTCTGATGTGCAGATTGCGTTGATAACTATAATGGAAGTCAATGAAAAATATACTTCATTACCTAGAAATGATCTGAAGTACCTGGGTAATTTTCATTTTAGTAGATTGTCGCTAATGTGAGAAACAACAGCAAGAGGCCAGAAAAACATGTTTGTCACTGTTATTTCTCTGGTTATTGAACATTAGATTACACTCACGTAAAGCCCTGTGCAAACAAACAACTTTATCTTCTTTTTACAATTTGCTTTGTCATATGAGCTCTCACTGAGCTCTTCTTGCCTGAGAAAATGAAGCAGTAAGGTTGTTTAAGGAAAGAAAACTAGTTTAGCTGAAGGAAATTCTCAGGAAAACAGTATATCATAACAAGAAAACATTTAGAAATAGAATGAATTTAGCCTTAAGTTTGATTGCCTAAAAGCATGATCTATATGATTCTGTACTCCCTGTGCACTACTTGCCTTCTTTTGACAGAACAAGTAACGTAAGAGAAAGAAAATATCATTTGAGTCCTGTTGCTGTATCATATCTGAAGCCAGCGAGATATCTCTCTCACCATAGTGTTTCAGAGCATTTGCTAAGATGAGTGAGTGGAGCTGGATTGCTGCATTTCTGTTTTCCTCTTTCCAGCAAACTGTAATGCAGACATGCATTTTCAAGTCAGCTAATGTGTTTGCATTATTAGTATCAATTTGCTTAGGCTTTGCAGGAAGGTTGCAAGATTCCAGGAGAAGTAATAGGTTTTGTTTAGGTTTTTTACCCCTTAAAAAAAAAAATCATTAAATTGTGTTGGGGGACCATAGTCTCATTTTATACTACTACATGCCAACCGTATTTTAATACAGAAGAGAAAATAAATCCTTAAATCGTGTGAGTGAAAAAAAAAAGAAAAGAAAAAATATCCCACTAAACCTGATAAAAATAAATGTGGTTTAGCAGAGCCTGATTTTGCATTCTCTAGGGCTTAATACAGCAGTTCTTGCACAACCAGTGAACGTATCAAGAGAGCTGCAGTGGGAAAATTGTTGAGGGCTATAAAATATTTTGTGAATATTTTTAACCAGGGATCAATATTAAGCTGATTAGCATAAACGTTTCTTTAACTGAAACAGAATACCAGTTATTACAGAGTGAACTGCTCTTACAATGAAAAAGTCTCCACATTAAGAGTGAGACGGGCCAAATTCAATTTCAGACAAATTGTCTGAAGGAATGTCTTTCAGGCTTATCCGTTTGTTTTTGTGGTTTGGTTTGATTCAGATATTTTTCAGGGTTTTGGTTTTGGTTTGTTTGTTGAATGTTTTTAATAAAAAAGGAAGTGGAGGTTATGGTCGTTCTTGGAATAAGATTTTGTGTTCTGCAGCTAGTCACCATTAGAGCAACCTCAAGGTTTCTCAGCAGTGCTGCAAAACTCAGCCCTGTGACAGGAGACTTCACTGATCCAGGGGCCCTAGTGTGTATGGGGTTGGAAGTCTTAGTGGAAGATTTTGGGACAAGGAAGAGAACTCTTCCCCTCCTGCTCCATACACTTTCTTTGTTACCACTGAATCTACCAGGAGGGATGGGAGCCAGCCTTGCTTTGAGTGGGTGCTATGACTCATTTTCATTATCCTCTTAATATATTTCAGACTTTAGAAAGTTTAGGTGAGGGGTACAACTTGCATATGAGTGAAACGGGATGTATGATTAGCTTCACTCTCTCTGTATGTGAGCATCTCTCCGTGTGGTAGAGATACTGCTTTTCTCACTCACCAGGTTATCTCAAGGACTAAGCACAAGCAAAAGCCATGTTTGATCATCTCTACCGGCTCCTTGTAGTTCAGCCTGGTTCACTTGGGCTGCATAGACCAAGTTGTCAGTTTCTCAGACCACTCCCACAGACCTACTAGTAGTTCAGACCACTCCCACAAAGATATTGGAGGGGGGGGCTGAGACCTTGAATGCCTCATAGGACTTAATATTTCTAATGAGAAGTCTGACCTGTTCTGGCAGCCAATTATACAAAACAATATATGTGGTTTAACATATTTTTATCAGAGACAAGGAAAGCAAAGCCAAAGTATGATCTCATTCTTACATATAGTGTATTAATCTATTAAAAGATTCAGAGTACTCGATCACAGAAATGAATTAATAATTAAATGGAAGATGTCCAGTGCTTTACCACATTCTATGTCTGTACTTTGGTTATAAGAGGGGCATTAGTTTATTTTAAGAAAAAAAGCAGCTTAATGCTGATTGGGAGATTTAATAAAAAAAAAAACAAAGCCTCCATATAATGCAGTCTCAGTTCCAAAATAATAATTCCTTCCACAGCACATTTTTCAGGAGATGTGTTTATTTTTAAATGTAGATAATGATACATCCTTCATAGTGTACAGACATTCTGCTTAACTATTTTTATAACTTGAGTATTAGTTACTTTCATACAAATAGCTAAATACATTGACAAAGACAAATGAAGCCCTAAAAAGAAATTACTGAACATCTGCTAATGTAAATGTTTTTCATCTGTGACTATACTCAGATTGTGTAAATACAAACTTTCAGGCACAACATATTCCCTTGTGATGGTGCCTTTTTATCTGCACAATAATTGTATTCATAATAAAATATATAAATTATTTTAATTTTGATTGCCCAGTTCTGCAAATTGTTCACAAAACAGAAGGTTAAGAATGGCCAAATCCGTTGCTGATGCTGACAATCATTTTGATTGATACCATATTTTGGGACTTTGCACATCTTTTTCCTTTTATATGTCTTCTTAGTGTTCCGATATATGAACTAAGTGAAAGAGAAAGCTTCTTTGAGTCTTGAAAGTATAAATTACTATGAGTTCCAACCTACTACAACATGAGCAACAAGAAGATAGCACATCCCGATGGTACAGGACACAATCATCATGGGGAAACCTAACCTGAAACAACAATAAAATAAAGATCAATAAGGATACAGTACTTTGTTGTCCAAGCAATCTATGAAAAGGAAAATTAAGTTTTCCTACATATTCCAAGCCTCAAATATGCTTGCAGCATGGCCAAAAGCATGGACATACTGAGAGTATGACAATATCTAGGAGTTTGATATTCAAGTTCACATTTCTACTTTCAGCCTATTTAAAAGATAAGTGTTCAAAATTACCATAATTTCCTTGATTTCAGGGCATCTCTTCAAATTTACCCTCAGAACCTGGCATGCCTTGTTGTTTTGTTGTTTTCCCCCCCAGAAAATATGCAATTATACAGGCAAAATAATAGTTATTTACAAATTATGCAGCATTAGACTAGATCATCCAGTGTATATCACTTATTAGGTGTGTAACCTTGGCATGACACTTTATAACTCAATCTATAGCTGAAACTTATTGTTTCTCTGATGATCTTTAGTCATATACAGCTAGTATGTGACTCTTCCGTACCTCTCACCAGGTTTAACAGACTTGAATATAAATGGTCTGTTGGAAATAAACCCCAAGCGGCTATAAAAGCACTAAAACTTTGCTGTTCTATCAAAAATACCTATTTTCACCACAGATTAATCTTTTCAGACAACGCTTACATTTTATAGCTTTCTTTAAACTGATGAGCACAGGCAGCAGAGGCAGATAATTGGAGAGGACATTGTGTACTCGGCCAAGTCCCACTCTGCTACATTTGTAGGTCTTCCATATACATGAAAAGAAGTGTGTTTTCTGAAACTTAAAAGCATTATTGTATGATACTGAAGGACTGTGAAGAACCACTGCTGTGATCACACTTATTCGTCTCATGTTAGTAAAATCACAAGGTGAACAGAGAGAACTAATCTTCATGTCACAAACGACCTTCTTTATGTACTTTCTTTTGTCAAGTCCAGCCATGAATTTCCATAAACCTCATCAAAGCATGGCAATGTTCTCTGAAGTGCAGAATTTCATTTGTTCTCTTCCTTGACGTATGACCTGCTCATTACATGTGGTTATATTAGTTGTGCCTTTTTGCCTCTCTCATTAGAAGCCCTCAGGAAGGCTCCTCAAACCTGTTCCCTTCTGCCATTGCTGATCAGAATACTGATGAAGAGATGCCCATTTTGTACACGACAGGAGGACACAATTTTCTGAGCTTGGGTGGATGAATAACTCCTTTCTTTAGGAAGCTACAGCTAGAAGGGACCTCTTAGGGCATGAAGTCTGACTCCCACTTCCTCAGGGTATAGAATCACTTGCATAAATGAAAATTAAACTTATTGATGGCTCACTGCAATCTGCTCTTTCTACCTGAAGCTGCAACATTACTCTAAACCTTGAGATCCTCATGAGACATGTTTCTTTCATGAAAAAGAAAATAAAAAGTTCAAGAAAAGAAAAACATTTCTGTTTTGTTGAAAAGCTGACTGAGGGAGGCATAGATGTGACCTGTGAAACAGCAGTGCTTTCACCTTAACAGCCATTGGCTCAAGTTAATGACAAGGGAATACTACCAGGAATGGGGGTCACTGAAAACATACAAAAATATACAGCTCTGACCCATAAAGTTTACAGAATACTTAGGAGACTAATAAAACTTGAATGCTCTAAAGGTAATGTTGGAATTACTTAGTGAATAACAAGCTTGTCCATAATGCCTGCTTTGTGGCTGCTCTTGACCCATTATTAAAGTCCATCTCACATACCAATAGAAATAGAGGCAAACCAAGAACAAAAGGAAACCTTTGTAAGACTGGAAATGTAACAAAGGGTAAGGCTGTCAGGGCTGATAGATCACCTCATTCCTGTGTCCTTGACATCTCCCTGAAGAATCTGGCATGTCCCTGTGTCCATGACAAAATATTGCCTGTGCGATCTGCCCCAGAAGGACAGTTCCCGTGCCTAGCTCTAGAGGCTTTCTCCTCCACCTTTCTGGGATTCAGAACTTCTTGTGCTGGCACCTTTTGTCATTCTAGTAACACACATTACGGTAACATTATTATTACTGCTGTTCTGGCTTTAATGTTCAGCTGATATTTAGAGTTGAGAAAGGAAGAAGGAAAGGAGGAAAGAGAAGGACTGAATGTGTCCAAGTGCTGAAAGGTACAAAGAATTGTTAGAAAGGATCATAGGATTGTCAGAGCTGTCAAATATTTCCTGAAATTCTGAAGTGCATTTGGCAGATTTATTTTTCCTTTTTTTTTTTTTTTTTTGTTCATATGAACAGGCACAAGTATACTGCAGATAAATGTTATTTCTTTTCCATACTGATTGGTCAGATGCTTTTGAATGACTCATTACTTGAAAAGCTGAATCATTATTTAGTCACTAAACTATGATCAAGCTGATAATATTGTAACATAGCAGAGCTAAAGCATCTCTTGGAGTTATTTTAGGGTAAAAAATTGATGGCTAGTCAACCGCTTCTCAGACCCTTTCTTTCCTTCTCTCAGCAAATCCCATCTCTGCCCCCCCACCTAATCTCACTTAGATAAAAGTGTCCAGATAGGACAAAAGGGTAAAAACAGCAATAGATGTAAGAATAAAATAGCATGGCTAAAAATCCTCCTACATCCTTCAGTATGTCTAATGAATGCTTCTTGCAGCTGCATTCACATGATAGGCAGGCGAACTGGAGATTGCTACAACTCTCACAAGAAAACTGGCTACTGTTTGCTAGAAACCATAATTTTATTGACCTCACATTTAACAAACAATGAGCTGATACAGGGAGGAGTGGGGACACCACAGTTCTTAATTTGTACTAACACAACCTAAAAAAACGTCTCTGGAGAACAAGCAGCAGCTTGGCAGTGAATGGCAATATAATGCTTTTGTGAAGACTGGCAAGGAGAGGGAAGGATCCAAAAAGATTCAGCGGCTACTCGACCACTGAAAAGAGCAGAAAAACTAGCACCAGCTTAGAGGAGGTCCATGCAAGAAAATGGATGAATTATACAGGGCCATATATAAACACACAGTAATTGTAGTCATACTCCTACTACCACAGTGCCATCAATGAGTAGCTGGACTCAGACATAGCTCGTCTGGGGAGGAACCTCATTTCATTTAGTGAGGATGTTTGCATAGGGCGCAACTATTCTCATTGCATGGACTATTACCCCTCAACTTGAGGCCTGCATTTCAGGCCCACTAGTCTGAGTACTAATGTAATTGTATCAAGTTCAACATGGAATTTGTGTACTAGAGGGAGAAAGGAGATGGAGCTCAGTCAGTAAGTATTAGTTACTGCAGTTAATCGATTACTTGAGTTCGTTCAGTGCCCTATTATGCTATTACACTACCCATTGCTCCCTCTCAAATGAAGATACAGCTCCTGTCCCAGGCCACATGCAGCACAATATTTATGTATCTGTGTTTTCTATGTTTACCTACACTATATCAAATCTAAGACTGCATTTTAAATAATGTAAAAAAACTACTTCCAGCAATACTTCTTTTCAACATATTCCTTGGACTCAAAAAGTAGCATGTCATTCAGTTGGTCCTGCCCGGGAAAAAGGAGCAGCAGAGTTTAGAAGTAATAAAAACCTTTCTTGTGCTAAAAGTTCGGATTCAGAAGAAACACTATTAGCATCTTTGGCATAAAAAATATACTTCATGTGATCTTGTAACAGCATCTGATGTGACATTTTATACACAAACTACAGGAACAGGGCAGATGGATCCTGCACTGGGCAGTGTTTTCTTCCCTCTCCTTCTCTGCAGACAGGGAGATACAACTGTGCTGCATGGTATAACAGGTTCATCCCAACTCTCCACAGCCAGCTCAGGGAGTTTTCTTTGCTGCAGAGAGGAAGTGGTGTCAGATACAAGGAAAGGGTGTATAAGAGAGTCTGGCATTCACTTCACTCTTTCCTCTTTCTCTTCTTACTAGAAGCTTGCACATAAAACTGCGATCTAAATGGAATCATACAGCTTAAATATACACAAGGAGCAGATGTTCAGTGCGAGACAGTGAGAGCATTTCAAGCGAGAGCCCCAGGGATCTGTCTTGCACAAAGTTTTACTTATTAATAACTTCAGCAATCCGGTATTGAAAAGCTTGCAAATCTCCCCAGCACAAGAGAGATGCCAGACTCTGCGGAGAACAGAATTCAGCATGTTCTTAACAAATTAAAATGTGAATTTGAAATGAACAGGATGAAAGTCTGTGAAGGTAAGTGTGAAGTATGTAATAGAAGTCAAATGTTTGCACAAAAACAAGGAAACTGAAGCTTTTTGTTGGTAATGACCTAGTTATTTCTGCCTCACTGCAAGATTTCTGGCCCTGTATTTACTTAGAAGAAAAGCAAACTGGTGTATGATTTTAATGAGTATCTATGGATGTGAATATTACAGTTTTCTTAGGTTATAAGTTTATCCAATACTATTTGCTAAACAATAATAACAAAACTTTGGGGTCTGAATTCCATTTTCTTGAACAAACTGATCTGTTAAAGTACCTTGCAGCTCTATTTTTTTGATGCTTCAAGAGCCAAGAGGAACCAGGATTTACAAGACTTAGTTTCAGTGCCCCGTTTTGCACAATTTGAGACAGGACATACAAAATGCTCTTACCCATAAAAAGCATTCCTATGGGCACCACCTTCCTTGACAAATTATAATGTGCATCCTCGGAGGAGACTGTGGGAGAATCATGCCTCCAAGGAAATAGGGAACCCTTAGTGGTTTCTCAGTGGAAATGCAACAGTAGAAATCACCCAAGATCAAACCACTGGCAGTGAAAGCAGCCTGGTGGTAGCCAGGGGCAAGAGTAACAAAAAAGCTAAAGCTAACTTCTACTTGTATTTGCAATTTAATGTACAATTTAAACTCATCTGGTGGAATTTGCTTAAAATTTTGCTTTTCTTTGAAATATCAGTTTCATACTACAAGTTCTGTAGAAGGTATACCCTCAGCTTTGCAGAAAAGGACTTGGAGGTTCTGGTGTACACCAAATTGAACATCAG